GGTGCTAAGGAATGGTGGAGTTTCTTCTTTGATGTAAAAGGCCAGCCTTTTCTAGGTGCTTTCCCATTTGCTAGCTGTAGCTTGGGTGGTGCTTCGGCTTTTGGTCACATGTTTGGGAACAGTATAGAGAACAGTGGACGTTATTGCCAGGCACTCAGCATGACTCCTCTGCAGAAAAGGGACCTATAGACACCCGTTACTATCCCGCCAAGGTGCACTATGAGACGACTAACCGGAGATTCAATTAAAATAGGAACAATATTTACAAGAGTTCTGAACTAAGTGGGGAAACCTGGTGGAGCTTGCTTTCCGTTGCCTCATTACTGGATGAATGAATCAAGGTTACCACATGAAAACCCACAGACTCCACTAACCTGGGCTCATAGGGGCTCACAGAGACTGAACCAACACCCAGGGAGCACACATGGATCTGACCTAGGCCCTCTGCATATATTTAATGGTTGTGTGGCTTGGGTGTTGCTGTGAAACCCTAAACACTAGAAGGGGGCCTGAGGAGGAATGGATCTGGGGGAGAAGGGAAGCAGGGACCTGGGGGTTGGGGTGGGGGCTGGGAGAAGAGGGGGGAAGGAAAACTGCACTCAGGTTGTTATATATGAGAAAATAATTTTAAAAAATCACTCCTGCTATCGGATGTTTCCTTCCTGTTCCTCCAAGTTAACAGGCACTGAGAATGTGTTACATTAAAGCCTCTTTACATTACTTGTGCCTACCATATTCAGACTCCTTCCCAGAGTGTCCTGCCCCCTTGAGATTTCTTTTGTGTGACAAGCCACAGCTTGTGAAGTCATACACAGGGCTTCCCTGTGTATGGTCAATTGTAAGGTCAATGTGACCTTAAATAAACCTTCAGAAAACTGAGAAAGCCTGGTGATACCATGGTGTGAGCTAAGGCTGCTTTCCTGAGAGGGAAGGTGCCCCAGTTCAGGTCTCACTGCTGATCAGACTGGTAATGGTAGGCTGTGTCTGTCAGGTCTTGCTGTCGGAGTTGCAGGTCTCGGAAGGGCTCCACTGTTTGCTATCCTGATATTAAGGTGGAGTAGAACTTAGCATTTGCATTTGGAGAACTACTGCCCTCAAGTACAACTGTACACTTAGATACAGAAAAATAAAATAGTATGGGAGCCAGCAAAACTGCCTTTTCCTGCCTTTGTAATGAAAAGAGACAGGATCGGCTTCATCATGCATTGCGAGTAAGCCCAACGGAGTTCCTATGAGCATGTTGATATGCAGTGCTGGAATCCCAACTCCGCAAGTGAGTTTCCTGTCCACCAGCTAAGATAGGCTTGCCATTTGTATCCGCTGCCCTCTCCTGGAATCAGGCAGCTTCACTTACATCTTTAAACTATTCCCATGCCAAATCTTGTCTGTAGGTAAGCCATTTAGAGAGACTAGGTGAATGGATACCGAGCAGCATCCCTAAGTGTTTGTCATCTCTCAGAACTGGAATCTTGGAATCCAAACAGTGGTCTAAACCTGCAGTCACTCAGCAGTGATCATTTCAAACACAGGCAAAGGAGTCTGTATTCTCTGTTTGCCTTTAGTTCTTAGTTCATGTCTCCCATGTTTAAAACAGTGCACACCAAAGTTGTGTAGCTGTTGATTTTGTTGACTAAAGTCCAAGTCTTATGGCTTAGTGTCCTTCTATGAATTTTACTTTGTGCTGTTATAAAAACCTCTGGTTTGAAAAATCACAAATCTCTAGTTCAAAGTTTCATGTTACAGCCACATTATATAGAAGCACACATTTTAATAGTGCCAACAAAAAAATTATAAGTTCATGTATTGTTTGCACATTTGGGCATAGCTTGAACTGGGAAGGCTAAAGAAAGTCTATCTACATCTGCCTCCTTAGTACTGGGATTATAGGCATGTACCACCACACCCAGTTTGTTTTTAAAATGTAGCTCTGGCTGGAATTATACAAAATGCAGCTCAGGCTAGCCTAATGCTCCTGCCCCTGCCTTTAATGTAGCCTATCCCCATGGGCATGTACTAACACAACCAGCAAATATTCTTAATCATAAAAGAGTGTAAGTTATGTGAAATTGTTTACTAAATAGTTTTGTGGCAAGTGTGCTTTTTCTTCTTTTCAAAACACCCTTTATAAAAAGAGGAGATTCTGGTAATGAATTAAACACACATTTAATACTTTATATGCCAGCTGATCTGTGTAACTTAACATCTGCATAGTTTTAAATTTGTATAGCCAGTAAAATTGTAGTGTATATTGATGCTATTTCAAGAATAGATGTGTGATTATAATCCTATGGGAGACATTTTTTAATTTAGTTTTCATCATCTTTTGAAAGTTTACTGCAAGATCTTAAACATCCAGGGAAATAATGACACTCTTTTTAAAAGGGAAAAGGTGAATTAACAGTAGCCACCAGTACATAGACGAGCATTTTATATAAGACTAAAACAGAAGTTAGAAGACATTGAATTTTCAAATTCAATTTGAAAGAAGGTAGGAAAATAAAAAGGCAGAGGAAGATAAGATGGCAACACACAATTACCCTGGTAACAGCAATTCCAAATGCACCAATCCTAAATAAAATGCCAACAGACTAAACTTTCTTATTAAGATAGTAAGACACAGGGATTGCCTGAGTGCATAAAAATTAAATCCAGCCATGTAATATATATGAAAGAGAAGGTAGGTCACAAAAGGTGTCAGAGAAATACTAAACCAAAGGCACATGCAGTCATTAAATTGATGAGGGAAAAATGTGAACTTTAACGTAGAATGTCTTATTAAATGTAGAAAAGATCATATGAGGATGAAAGTCCTACTTTATGTGGAAGGTATAACATTTCTTGAATGTTATAGATCTAAGTGCTAGCTTTGCACGGCTTAAGACACTCATGGGTTTATATGGAAGATACAAATATGCCATCATGATAGGAAATGGATAACCACAGTCATTATAGCACTCTGATGAGGTAAACTGATTGCTTCAGATAAAGCTGCTTCCCAAAAGTACGAAATCTCATATATACACGTGGTTCATCCATTTTATTTCTGAGATGAGAAGACTAGTATCAGAAAAATATGTGTTAGGACAGATATGGTAGCTCATGCACTTTAGGAAGCTGAGGCAGGAAGAAAACCTGCCATGACTGTATAACTAATGACAAACCAGCTTTGACTGAAAATGAGATCTTATTGCTCTTTATTTCACATGTTTGCATGTTTATGTTCATGAATTTAGTGTTGGATATCAAATATTCTAATCACCAGTTTCTCTGTGTACATAAAATATAGTAACATAGGGTTTGGGGTGATTGGCAGTGTTCTTTCTTTTTTAAGTAAATGATATGTATTTAATTTGTACAAAATTGTGTCAGGCTCCAAACTCAGATCTGATTGCAGTCTGGCTCCAATGCTTTATTTTATCAAAATGATATAAAATTGATAGGAATGAGATGTTCACTGTGTAATTTATAGACAGTACTTTCGGTGTAATGATTCCTTTATTAAATAGCGAAGTCTGTCTATTTCAAACTTGACTTTTAGAACTGTTAACGGCAAGGTTGTAAGCATGAGAGGTCTTGAAGCAGGAAGGTATAGTGTCGGTGACCTAGACCCCTCTGTAAGGGAGAGAAGAAGGGCTTTGAAAACCACTCCTTTTCCTGTGGACCGTCGTCTGTCAGTCAGAGACACTTAAAGCCAGTCCGTGGCTCTGTCTGTAAATGAAAGAAACAGATGAAGCAGACATCCACTGCAGCAGTGGACCCATTCTTCAGGCTTGTGGTGGGAAGATGTAAAGAGGTCTCCTGGACCAGTCTGTGATCCACTGCAGTTTCTGCCTGGGTGCATCAACTCCTTTCCCCTTCCACAGCCCCCTCCCGGAAGCTTCACCTTCCCACTACAAAAATGCTGGCATGTGGAGCTGGTGGCTGAGGCGTGCTTAGCACCTTCAAGGCTTTTAAAATACTTTCGGAGCAGCTGGGCCCCAAGCCCTGTCTGGCTGCCTCCTCTGAGACTTGGTGTAGTTAGCTCTGCTTGCAGAAACACAAAGATGTATGGGGAAAAGCCTTTGGAGAACATGGATTCCTTCAGTGAGCATTCCACTGCCGTCCCCTACCTACTTTCTACACCACCAAATGGGGGTGGTATCCTTCTTGGACTGTAGTAAATATGAGAATGAGAAAAGTGCCTGACATATGTTCTACTCTCTCTGGAGGGAGTGCCATCAGTGTTATGTTAATTATGCATGTCTGATTGCTCTGACCAGCAGAATAGTTTCCATGAAAAGCAAAACTGGAAAGACCAAGCATGGCTGCCACCCGTTGGAAAGCTTATACCACATCAAAGGTTTTGCCTCTATCCCTTTCTCCCGTAATCTTGAGACACATACCCTCTATCTACTGTTGTTTTAAAGGTCATCTTGAATTGATTTAGCCCCGTATCATTTAAGCATATCTGTTTGTTAACCTGGATGCTGGTATCAGAATGACTGGCATTTGGCAGGACACTTGCTTCAGTGATTTTTTTTTTATTGAAGGCAAGAAAATATAAATTTTTTGAGGAAAAGTAATTTTAGTAACTAGAGAACTTAATAACAGCTCTATTTTAATTCCCCCAGTTATTCGGTATTAATTTCCTATAAATGCATCCATATGTGTATGCCATACAAAGAGTCCATGAGTGAATGCTGGCAACTATTTGATAAACTGTCATCTATAATTTTCTACTTCTGAACTTACTTTCATCCATTCTGAAATAATCAGTACTTTGCTTACAGTCAAAATATTTTAAGTCAACAATACTTAGCATATCTGGAGAAAAGGATGTTTTGGAGTAACACATACTGGAAGGGTGCATATGCATTCAGTCTGTTTATTTCAGCAGGTAATTTAAGTTGTTTCCCTGGCCAGGAATAAACTGAGTACATAAAACATGGCATGAGCCTTAGGTCCTATTTAGTGAATTTCTTCTGTGGTCTGATGATTTCTCTGTTTTTACTTGTTTTCAGGCTCAGCTATGTAAATCATGCTGAAGATCTGGCCTCCAAGCTTCTACAGTGTTCCCCAAAGAACAGGCTATCAGCACAGGCCGCCTTGAGCCATGAGTATTTCAGCGATTTGCCCCCGCGGCTATGGGAGCTGACTGATAGTGAGTAGGACTCCAGCATCCAATCAAAGCACTTGGTCATCAATATGTAGCACGCATGTAGACAGATGGGCTCTTTCATGTGTGCATAAACATAAGGTTGTGTGCTTGGGTGTATGCACTGTGTGTGTGTGTGTGTGTGTGTGTGTGTGTGTGTGAGAGAGAGAGAGAGAGAGAGAGAGAGAGAGAGAGAGAGAGAGAGAG